GTCGGGCGGCCGCGCGTTATTTTGCTCCGGGCCAAACTGCCACGCCCCCCCCCCCCCGGCATTTTACGGCCCGTGTGAATGGGACCATCGTTGGATATTCGGTCATTGTTGCTGCATAGCAGTCGTTCGCAACTGGATTTTCCTCTGTGGACAACATAATCCATTTGTGGATAATTGCTACAGCATAACAATAGCACATTATCCACCAGTGTCTAGATGCAGCACATTCATTCTGGATAGGGGTGAAAAAGAAGTATTGACAGCTGCCAAAAACAACATTGCCCTGACCTGGATGGCCCAAGGTAGCCTGATCTCATCAGATCACAGAAGCCAGGCCTGCAGCCCTGATTTTGTGGCTTTTTTGGTTGTGCTGAACATAGCCTAACTCAAACAGTATCTTATTCCAAGAATGGACAATACATCCAATAACCAGATCAGATTGCACAGGGAAGCCACTGAAATTCATAAATATAAACACAATTTCAACAGGGAAGAAGAGAGTTTAAAAATAAATAGGGCATGGTTTCCTGTCCTGAAAAACACAAAATGCTCTACATCTCACAATAGAACTACAGATACGATTAGAATGTCAACAGCCAAGCTATATGCAAAAGAACCTCCTCAGGAAAGCTCTTCCATTAGCATGTCACAGCCTGGGGAACTCCTACAAGATAATGACTCAGCCCTATAGATATAGATATAAATTACCTGCCTACCATTTTTCTTCTCATGTTGTCACAGAGAGTACTCCATCTTTCTGTGTTATACCTCTGAGGATGCCAGTCACAGCTGCTGGTGAAACGTCAGGTCCTACAATGCCAAGATTATGGCCATCTATGACAACGAATGAACTCCAGCTGCGAAAGCCTTTGACAACGTATTAAATTCTGATAAAAAGCTGGCAGGTGAGGGTGATGACGTCTGTACTCAAGAAAGCTAACATTTATGCAGAAAAACTCTCTTAAAGGAGACCAGTTTCTTGACACAGAGTTAGAAGGGATCCTAGAGGCCACCTACTCCAACCCCCTTGTCCAGTGTGAGAGTTAGTCAACTACAGCACCCCCCTCTGCTTAGAGGAGCCCATGATTAAAAAAATGTTTTAAAATTATTGGGAAAAAAGCATTTTCAGGAGAAATTATTTTGGGGCTGTAGCTTTAAGAAAGGGGGGCGCTCCCAAAAGCCCCACTGTAGCTATGGGCCTGATGGAAGCAAAGCAGCGTTGGCCCTGGATAGTACTTGGATGGGAAACCACCAAAGAAGTCCTGGGATGCTACACGGAAACAGGCCATGGCAAATCACCTCCTTCATCTCTTGCCTTGAAAACCTTATGGAGTCACCCGGTTGGCTGTGCGACTCGATGGTACCTTTTCTACCCACAACAATATTCACAGCACAGTCCTACGCAGAGTCGCTCCAGTCTAAACCCACAGATTGAGCTTGGCTGAGACTGTACTTACTCTGCATAGGAGAGCTCTGTAAATGAGGCGACGCTTTTCTTTTGCAGTTAGGAATAATTACCTATGTTTCGAAGGTGCCAGATGAAAAGCCAGATAACCAGCTTGTTCCGAGGCTTATTGAGGGCAGCCAGCCAGGCAGAGCAGAACCACTGGAGCGTCTCACTGGCTCAGTGCCAGTAGACTAAGAGAGCAACAATAAGCGGGTCTGCTCAGAATCCTACTCAGTTCTACTCAGCAGGGCTTTCTCCCAGGAACGTGTCCCCAAGATTGCACTGAAACACAGGACAGTTCAAGAAGTCACAGAATACTGTTTGTGGGTTCATGTGTGTACACACACACACGAGGCAGAGAGATGCAGTTCAGAACAGCAACAGGAAATGAGTTTCTTGGCACATCCCTTTCTGAGCAGGAGCAGTCTACCTGTATTACGAGCCCTGTGGTATTCACCTATATCCTTACAGCTTCCTAAGCTCCCCAGATTTTACCAATCAGGCCCTAAATGGGGGAGTTCAGAAGTAGTTACTGCTGTACACTTATCTTTAAAATTATATAAAATCTTGCAGGGTGGTTTTTTTTTTTAATGGAGTGGTTCCGGGCTGGAGGACTGGGCATAGGATTCGGAGGTCTAGTTTCAGGTGCAAAAATTACTAGTTAGTGCTCCGGTTTCTTCCGCCCTGATGTTCTGCTACTTATGGAATAATTTGATCCAATGTACTGTATAAGAATCAAACCCGGAGTCCGGCGGCACCTTGAAGACTGAAACTCTATTCTTTAAGATGTCACCGGACTCCTGTTACGTCCTACTTTGCTGCTGCGGACACCACAGCTACCCGCCTGAAATTCTAGCAACGGAGGTACGTCCTAAGCGCCTTTCCACCACTTGCTTATCCTGAAAGTTCAGCACTACCTATTAATTTTGACTTTAAAAATAAAACAACAGCTTCTCAAAAATATTTTAACTCCCACATTGAAAGACCGCTTTAAGAGGGGAGAAAAAACACATGTCTTTGCATTGGCTGGAGATATCAGTGCCCTTTCGTGATACCACCCAGCTGGGTAGATAACACAGGGCAAAGATGGAGGTTTATGAATGAAGCTCTATATTCCACATTCTCACACACACACACCATCACTTCCTTCCCTTGTACAGCCATCCCCGCAGCCGCACAACTGGGTTTGCCCCAGCACGGGCACTCAATGGCGAGCTGCAACCAACGCCTTGCAAAAGCAAGTCTCAGTCCAGTCCCCTTCTCCAGACCCAAGCACACCCCGGCCTTCTCTCTCTGCTCCTCTTAGCTGCCACCTCTCTTACATAAAACACTCAGCAACGGCTCTACTCCAGGAAGCCGGCTGGCTGATCACTGGGCTAAGGCCTCTCTCGGACTGGCCGACCTCGCGGGGTTGTTGTGGGGACAAAAAATGGAGGCGCGGGGAAGCACGGATGCCGCTCCGAGCGCCGTGGAAGCAGGGCGGGATAGGAACGCACCACACGCCGGCACCCGCTTTCCCTTCCCTTTCGAAGTGCAAAACTTCCTTACTTGCTGCCCGCCAAAGAGTTCGCCCAGACTTAAGCCCGCGCACGCAATGTCCCCCCGTGGGTGGGAGCCTGCCCTCGGTCCCTCCTGGCGCAAGGTGCCCTTACCTTCTTTGCCAGGTATCCCACGAGGCAGGGAAGCCCAAAGGAGAAAGAGCCCCAGGGAGAGACCTGCGGGGCAGCCGGGAAATCTCCACTCCATATTCCCCAGCAGAGGCAATCCTCGCAAGCGCGCCACTCTACAGCCCTCTCGGCTCCCCGGCCACGGCCCTGGGCATCTGGGCGCCCTTCACACGCGGCTCTCCCCAGAGCCTCCTGCCTGGGACTCGGGCATTGCAAAACCTGCCTGCCTGGCCCCGACTTATGATGAAAGACCAAGACAGAGGAGTGGTAAAACCAGCTCTCTCTCTCTCTCTCTCCCAATCACCTCCCCTGGTTTTACTAGCTTTAAAGGGGCCGGCCCAAGACTTCCCATCCGGCAGACAAATAAACTCACCTTAAAGGTAGCCAGCCACCTTTCCGTGGGATCCTCTCTCCCTCTCTCCGTCTCCCTTGGCTTCTGGCAAGGCTGCGTTTATGGCTCCCGGGTGACACCTTGTGGACGACTGTGGACATTTTCCTAAGCTTGTCCGGAAGGTTTCTTGGTCCGCTTCCTTAGGTCGTGACGGCTAAGGTAGGGCCGCCAACCTCCAGGTGGCGCCTGGATATCTCCAGGAATTACAGTTGATCTCCAGACAACAGATATAATTTCCCCTGGAGGTAATGGCTGCTTTGGAGGCGGGGTTGCCAGACTCCAAGCGATGGCTGGAGATCTCCCAGTATTGCAACTGATCTCCAAGAGACAGAGATCAGTGTTCACATGCAGAAAATGGCAGATTTGGAAGGCGGAGTCTGTGGCATTCTACCCCACTGAAGTCCCTCCTCTCTCTAAACCCTGCCCTCCTCAGGATCCACTCCCAAAATCTCCAGGTATTTCCGAACCCGGAGTTGGCAACCCTATTTGGAGGGTTGACTCTAAGGCATTGCGATCTGTCTCCCCACCCCAAGCCCAGCTCCATCCTCGCCAGGTTCCACTCCCAAAATCCCCAACCAATGTTCCCTCTAAGCTGTGGAGTCTTGTGAGCAAAAATCCTACTTTGTGAGCTCCTGGCATTAAAGTTGTGAGCGAGCAATTTGGCTGCTGCATAAATGAGTTTGCTCTGGAGCCATCCTTCCCGAGCTAAGACAAAAATGTGTGAGCCGGAGGCTTAAAAACTGTGAGCTAGCTCACACTAACTCAGCTTAGAGGGAACACTGTCCCCAACCCAGAATTGGCAACCCTAAGCTATGTGAGTCCATTGCAGGGACTGGGGCTGTGGTTTTGCCACAAGCCTCTGCCGTCAGCAGTCTTCTGGGGGCTGTCTGTCCTGACCTAGACAGATCGTCCGATGGAAGTTAAAAACTGTTAGCCCTAAGCTGCAGTGTTCCCTCTAAGCCGAGTTAGTGTGAGCTAGCTCACAGTTTTTTAGCCTCCAGCTCACAGATTTTTCTCTTAGCTCAGGAAGGATGGCCCCCAAGCAGACTAATTTATGCAGGAGCCATATCGCTCGCTCACAGCTTTAATGCCAGTAGCTCACAAAGTAGAATTTCTGCTCAGAAGACTTGGAAGTTAAAAAGGAACATTGCTAAGCTGTTTGGAAAAGTTTCTGGATTTAGGAATTCCTTCTTGTGAAGTACTTGTATGAAGAGCATTAAAGAACTGAGAATTTGTTTGATAAAGAACTGTATCGAAACAAACGCTAGAACTCGAGAAGTTCGTAATGTCTGCGTTTCTGCTCATCTCGACGTCATCTTGATGGCGCTTTTTGCTGAGAACAAGAATTAAACATCTTAGAAGCATAAATTATATTGTTGTTCTATATTATTGCCAACTATTTTCAAATTGTATGCACGTTTGCAGCAATTCTGTTTTTCCTTGTGATCATCCATTGCTGTACCCATTGTGTCACTTTACCTCTGACCTGGATAAGCCAGGCCAGCCCGATCTCATCAGATCTCTGAAGCTAAGCAGGGCCGGCCTTGGCTAGTATTTGGAAGGGCGGCCTCCAAGGAATACCAGGGGTGTCACGCAGAGGCAGGCAACGGCAAACCACGTGAGACTTAAAAATCAAGATGCGCCTATCGTGAGCTACTATTTGGATCAAAAACATGATTTTAATGATCTACGACCTACTTGCGCACTGTCGCATTGTGAGCTTTGGGTGAATACAGAAGGCTAGCTCTCTCTTTTCTCTCTGGTTCCTAAGTAAAGTAAGGTAAAGGTAAAGGTTCCCTTGCTCGAAAGCCAGTCGAGTCCGACTCTAGGGTTGCAGTGCTCATCTCCGTTTCCAAGCCGAAGAGCCAGCGCTGTCCGAAGACGTTTCCGTGGTCATGTGGCCGGCATGACTAAACACCAAGGCGCACGGAATGCTGTTCCCTTCCCACCGAAGTGGTACCTATTTATCTACTTGCAATTTCTTGCTTTCAAACTGCTAGGTTGGCAGGACCTGGATCTAGAGACGGGAGCTCACTCCGTCATGTGGCAACTCGGGTCTCGAACTGCTGAACTACGGACCTTCCACAGCCTGCAGTTCAGCGTCTTAACCACCTGAGCCACCGCAGCTCCTTATCCTAAGTAAAGTAGATTGTGTTATATTGTATTTGTAGATCAGTTCCAGGAAAAAACATGTCTGCCTGAAGAAGAATCTGTCGAAACACGACGGTTTTGCCTGGGAGGCGTGTTGCTTGCTTTGATGCTTGCTGAATCACTTTTTGTGGAGAACATAACAGTCTGCTGCATCTCTCATCATTTACGACTCTTGCAACCTTCATCAGTCTCTTATCAGGAGCTAGATAGTCTACAGCATTGGAATAGGTCTCCGTAGCTGTGGACTTTTCGATCAGTAGCTATATAATGTTCTTTAGGTTTTTGTATGATATGAATATGTATAAGATACACTAGGGTCTCTATTGTATTTAAATCAATATATGAAGACTCAAGGGCATAGTAGTAGAGTGTGTTTTGTTCTAGCATGGTGTTTCTTTAAAGGTAAAGGTAAGGGTTCCCTTGCTCGAAAGCCAGTCGAGTCCGACTCTAGGGTTGCGGTGCTCATTTCCGTTTCAAAGCCGAAGACCAACGCTGTCCGAAGACGTTTCCGTGGTCATGTGGCCGGCATGACTAAACACCAAGGCGCACGGAACGCTGTTCCCTTCCCACCAAAGTGGTACCTATTTATCTACTTGCAATTTCTTGCTTTCGAACTGCTAGGTAGGCAAGAGCTGGAACTAGAGACGGGAGCTCACTCCGTCATGCGGCACCCGGGTCTCGAACTGCTGAACTACCGACCTTCCACAGCCTGCAGTTCAGCATCTTAACCACTTGAGCCACTGCAGTTTACATTTTTACGTTTTACGTTTGTCTAAATTCCAGGTGGGGCCTGGAGATCTCCCAGAATTACAACTGTCTCCAGACAGCAGAGATCAGCCCTCCTGGAGAAAATGGCAGGTTCAGAAGGCAGACTCTGTGTCATTATTCCCTGCTGAGCGCCTTCACCTCCCAAACCCTACCCTCTGAACTGCTCCAACCCCAAATCTCCAGGAATTTCCCAAGCCATAACTGGCAAGTCTAGACTCCGTAATTACATGGGAAAGGAAGAGGGAGGCCCTGTTCTTATAGCATTTCCAATTTCAGAGTAAGAGTCCCGCAAATCTGTGTGCTGAGGAACTTCCCCTGCCTCCTTCCTCAAAGGCATCTCCCCAGGGTTCAGGGGGTCTCCAGAAATGGTTCTGGGCAGGAAGCAGGGGTTTCCAGTGGGAAGGGGAACCGGCAAAAACCGTCTTCCATCACACTGCCGACTGGGGTCATTGGATTCTCCCTTCCGGTGCTGTGTCTCCTTATACGGCATTGATGCGGATGTAGCACATGGCCATGTGATCCAGGTGGCCGACAATGCGATACACTGTGCACACTTTCACACACACTGAATAATGCACTTTCAACTCACCTTCAGTGGACTTTAGTAATTGCTTATAAGTGGATTTTTCCATTTCGCACAGTAAAATCCAGCTGCGAAGCACACTGGGCGTGGATTGAAAGTGCATTATTCACCATGTGTGAAAGTAAAGAGTATGGGGAATTTCACATTACCCAGTTTCATCCGGTTTCAAGCCGGTAATCATCCGTTTTGAAGTGAACCGGTACAGGGCTGCCATTTCACACATGGCTTGCCCCTACCAGAAATGAGCCAGATCAGAAGCGGTTTGGCATTTCAGACTTGCACCGCTTTGTTTTCCCGCCGTTTTCTTCCCGCGCGGGTGATCAATTTTTTAAAAAGTTTGATTTATAGCATTATAGCGATATAACGCTATACCGGAACTCCAAACGATCGCAATAGCGATCCCATTGGAGTTTGAAGTTCCGATATAGTGTTATAGCGATATAACGCTATCAATCGAACGTTCAAAAACACCAAAAAGCCCTCGCGGGCGAAAAATGGCGGGGAAAAAAGCGTAACAGAATCGGGAGAGGGAACTGAAGACTACTCGGAAGCAGTTGACAGGTAAAACGCTTCAGTTCTGGTTCCTAAACGGGACAGAAGCTTTTGTGTATGAAATGGCAAATACATTCCGGTAGGGAACCGATTCTCAAACGGGTTCTGTCTGAAATGACAGACCAGAACCCGTTTGAGAACCGGTTCCCTACCGGGAGATATCGCCTGTCTGAAATTCCTCTATGTTTACGTGGCGTAGCATGGTGGCTGTCCTGGCACTTGGATTCCAATCTCAGCAATTTGGGGATAACTATAATGAGGCTCCTTTATCCTGAATCATACCCTTGGTCCATAAAGGTCAGTATTGCCTACTCAGACTGGCAGCAGCTCTCCGGGGTCTTAGGAAGAGGTCTTTCCCATCACCTACTACCTGATCCTTTTAAACTGCAGATGCAGGAGACTGAACCTGGGATCTTTGGCATGCAAAGCCGATACCCTGCTATTGAGCCGCTCGCCCACCTCTCAACTGAAGAGCTGTAGTAAGGATTTCAACACAATAGTGTGTGAAGCCCTTTGAACACAGCCAGCACTATATAAATGCTAAGAGACCCAGTTTGATGTAGTGGTTAAGAGTGGCAGACTCTAATCTGGAGAACCAGGTTTGATTCCCCACTCCTCCACATGGAGCCAGCTGGGTGACCTTGGGTCAGTCACAAGTTCTCTCAAGAATAGTTCTCGAAAGAGCTCTCTCAGCCCCACCTACCTCACAGGATGTCTGTTGTGGCGAGAGGAAGGGAAGGAGTTTGTACGCTGCTCTGAGACTCTAAGCGAAGGGCA